TCTCTTTATTTCTTGGCTTTTGTAATACTGAAAGCGCTGGCAACATGCCATCACCTCCTCTTCGTCCTAGTGTACAATCACAACTGTGATCATTCAAATGACGCTTCTTACAGTAAAAAAACCCAGGAGACTGAGTAACTTGTGCTGCATTTTCATCTCATGAAGACTAACTGCAGATGGCATTTTAAAGGGATGTACTTTATTGTAAAAAAAATTACCAAAAGTCGTGCGTAGTATTTCAATTATTTGGGGTATGAAATTTTTAAATGGCATATTATGTATTTAAGGGATTGAAATATTCGGTTTTAAATGATTAAATGGGAAACAGATCTGGCCCTCCTCAGCAAGTGAGTTTGACACCCCCACTGCTCCCCGGCCCTCGTTCTCTCTGGGGCTTGCTTCTGTGGGCGTGTCGGAGTCCCGTGTGTCCGTCCTGTCTCTTCCCAGCCCTCTCTCGTCTTGTGTGGGCGGTGTTGCCGGCTCGGCGGAGAGGTCGCAGTGATAGTGACCCTTCCTCCGTGTCTCTCTCTCTCTCTCTCTGTCCCAGATGAGCCGGGGCGACAGCCTGCAAGAGCCGCCCTCCATCCTGGAGTCCAGCCAGCACCCCAGCTACCGCTCCGAGCCCAGCCTGGATGGAGGAGGCGGAGGAGGGGGCCCGGGTTTGGGAGCTGGGGGCGCGGCAGGCATCCCGGGCTACTCCCTCGGGGGCCGCTCCTACCCCTCCTTCACGGACCCTGTGGTCCATTCAGGGGGGGCGTCCCGCTCTTCCAGCCTGCGCTCCACCCACACGGCCCACAATGCACTGGGCACCTTGCACTCGGAAGGCACCACGTCCACGAGCTACAAGAGCCTGGCCAACCAGACGCCCCGGAACGGGAGCCTCTCATACGACAGCCTGCTGACGCCCTCCGAGAGCCCCGAGTTCGAGTCCGCCGCCCCCGAGCTGTCCCCCCCGGGCCTGCCTCACCAGAAGCCCCCGCCGCCAGTGGTGGGTTACAGCTCGCCTTTCCTCTCGGCCCAGATCGCCCACCAGCGCGAGGCCGAGCTGCACCAGTCCTCCTCCCTGCTGCTGTCCTCGACCTCTCCCCCGCCGCCTGGCTCCTCCTCCTCCGCCGCCTCCTCTCCCCCTCCCCAGAAGCCTTACCTGAGGGCCGCCTCCGGAAGCCCCCCTCCGGAGCGGGAGAGGTTGCTGCAGGAGCACGACACCTTTTCTCAAGCCCACCCCCGCCACCACCCGCGCTACAGCCGCCCCCCGCTTCTGTCCGACGGCTCAGGGGCCCACCTGCACCATCACCCCCCCTCTGTCCGTATACGCTCCTTAGGCTCCCCGGATTTACAGCCCCCGGCACCACCTGCCCACTCTTCCCTCTCCGCCCACACTGGCCCATCGGCGCCTCCTCCCTTGGGCAAATCCCTCTCCTACAGCAGCGCTGCCTCAACTGAAGTGCAGTACCGCCACAAGCCAATAGTGGGCAGCAGCTTGTCCAGCACGGAGGCGCAGTACCGCACCAAGGCAGCAGGGGGCGGCAGTGGTGTCATCCGCGCTCCGAAGTGAGTAACGCAGCTCCTCTTCTCTGTGAGTGTCTCCTTTATTCTTCCTCTTTTACTGTGTTTTTGTCCTTCTTCTAATAAATTCTTTTCCTATGTGTTTTTAACAGCCTTTCCTTCTTGTTTTATGTTTGTATGTGCATCCATTTTCTTCTGTATGTTGTATGTTATTTGCAGTGTTGGTAGCGTATTACTGTTACTAATATCAGAAGTACAGTTGCCTTTTCTGCCAGGGATTGAAATAAAACTAATTCTGCACTAGTTAAAGGTGTGCTATATTTTGTTAGCTGCTGTCTCGTATGTAATTTAACACCAGCTGCTAAACAATACTATTGGAGATAGCAAAGTAAAGAGATAAAATCAGGGTGCTACTACAAGTCATATTCATGGACCCATTACAGACCCAGGACAGTGTCAGTGAGAGTAGGGGTGTTGACCCCAGTGTCCTGACTGCTGGTCATGACAGACCCAGGACACTGTCGGTGAGAGTAGGGGTGCTGACCCGCAGGAGGGGGCTGTCTCTCCCCCAGGTGGGGCTGCTGGTACAGGAGGGGGCTGTGTGTCTCCCAGGTGGGGCTGCTGGTGCAGTAGGGGGCTGTGTGTCTCTCAGGTGGGGCAGCTGGTGCAGGAGGGGGCTGTGTGTCTCCCAGGTGGGGCAGCTGGTGCAGGAGGGGGCTGTGTGTCTCCTAGGAGGGCCGCTGGTGCAGGAGGGGGGCTGTACTATACTGGGAGAGGAAATGGTTCCCTGCTGTCTGAAGCCCTTTATTGAAACCTTACATTAACACAATTATAACTGATAGTGCATTCTGAAATACAGGGTCCATGCTAAAGCATGTATAGGTGGTTTTGTGATTTCCGTCGGTACAGTTATTACCTGAGCCTGAATCCGGAGTCGGGGTTCTTTCTCTAATCCACAGACCCTTGGCTGTCTGTAGGGTGGGACAGTGCTGGTTCTCGCTCGTTATTCTTGTCTGCAAGGGTGGCACAGTGCTGTCTCAGCTCTCAGGTTCTGTGTTCACCCAGGACAGTGCCCAAAATAGTAAGATAATAACTAAGGTTAATTATCAAAAAGAGGCTGTTCAAACCTAGGTTTAGTATTGATTTTTCAAGAACCTTTTTTTTTAGGATGTCATAAGAGCACTTGTACAATAATAAATATGACCAATGAGTGCACACCTTCTCCACGGAGCTTGCATGTTCACATGGGGTTTTCTCTAGGTACTCCAGTACCCTGCCTTCTGAAGATCTGCTAGCTGGGTTCATCTGAAATTATTAAGGTTAAATTGTATGCATTTGTGCGCGCCCAGCGATGGACTGGTGTCTTCTAAGATAGTGAGGTGGTTCACCCATTGGGAAGCCATTCAGCCCGTTGGGGAGTTGATGAGATTCTCAGATTGATTCTGCAGCTTGTTGAAAGAAGCCAGGTTATCGGCTTCAACAACAGGGCTGAGCAGCTTGTTCCACTCTCCCTTCGCACCTAGTGTACGTTATTGTAACGTTTTATTTAAATCTGGACAGGCTCCATTGGAGAATATTGTTGCAACCTAGAAAATTGCATTGCCTCCTTGGTGAATTGAACAATGTGTATAATTAATCATTTTTTGTCTTCCTGTTTTCATTTATCCTTTCTTTGCCTTTCCTTGTTCCCCATTTCCACCACCTGCCTTGTTCTGCCTCCTTTTCTCCTCCCCTTTCCTCTGTGATCTGCTTCCTGCCCCTCCTCCTCCTCCCCCCTCTCTTCTCAGGGACGAGATACAGATGAAATCCTTCAGCAGGTCCAATGGGCAGCCTAAGACCCACCCCTCCTCCTCCTCCTCCCCTCAGCCCCGCCCTCTCTCCCCGCCTCACCCAGTTGGCTCCACTGCCCGGCCGAGGGAGGGTCCAGGGCTGGCCAATCACAGCGCTCCCCTCAGCCCAGCCCACAGGCCGCAGGGGGGCGGAGTGAAGAAGGTGACGGGTGTCGGAGGAACCACTTATGAGATCTCTGTGTGAGAGATGGACAGGTGGGCCTGCCAATCACAGCGCAAGGAGCCCTTCTAGAGCCTTCCTCCCCCTTACTACAGAGAGTCTTGTAAATGGAAGAGCAGCAGCCGGGCGAAAGCCAGAGGGATGGAATTTGTTTTTTCTTTACTTCTCTCCTCCTCAAGGATCAAGGCTGAGGAAGGGGGTGAAGGGGAGCACTGACTGATGAGACTGTACTAAGCAGAGAAAAAAAAAACGGTTTCTTCACGGACGCAGTGCGTGCGGTTTTATTCGGACCTGCAGTTTCATTCAGGGGCAGAACAGCAGGCGGACCAGGGCTGCGACCCGGAGGCGCCTGGAGGCGGCACTCTGTCCTCCACGGACCAAAGGCGGACAAGGACACTCGTTCTCCCTCTGCGGCCGGCGCCGGCGTGGGAGAGAGCCGAGAGAGCTCGCCGCCAGGGCTGGGCTGTCGAGGCCTCGGTGTCGAATCTGTGACTTGATGACAAATGTCCAAACAGGCCTTTCGGCTAGCGGGTGGCCGCGGGGATGGAGACGGGACTTTATTCCAGAGAGCGCACTCCTCACGGACCACGCTCGCTCCCCGGCCGGCCCGGCCCGGGACAGACCCATTAGTAGGAACTTTCTAAAACGGTTTGAATTCGATCACCTATGGATTACAGGGAAGGATTTTGTTTTTATTTTTTACAAAAATATTTTATATAAATATGTAACTCCTTTGGCGGCGTCTCCTCAGTAGGGACAGTAACAAAAGCAAGCCCTTTGTCCATCTGGATCGATGGCTGAAGCAGGCCAGTCAGGGGGTCGGGGGTGTTTCGGGGGTGGCGACATCGGGTCAGTGTGCCGGTGCGGAAGTCTGGGGTCCTCTTTCTCAGGCTGGGCAGGAGGAAGAGGAGGAACGGACAGTCTGGCTCTGACACCGGGGTGCTGTGTGAGCTGCTGGAGGAGTCGCCCTGTGTGACGTGGACATGTGGTCGCCCAGGGTCTTCTGTTTCCTGGTGGCCGCCAGCCCGGTGCAGGCTCACGTGAAAGCCCGTCTCAACACAGCTCGTTCAGGCCTTCTGTCTGGCCGAGCGGAGGAGTGGAGCTGCTCCAGGGGGACTGTGGGAGCCACCCTGTGTGGTACAAGGAGCAGCCCTTTCCCATTCGTGCGGGAGAGCTGGCGCCCGCCTGGGTCTCTCTGGGAGGGACAGGGCCCCCGCCCGGCTGGAGGGACTCGACAGCGGTATGCAGGAGCGCGGGTGGTGACTCCAGAGCAGTGACCTGCGTGTAGGAGCGCAAGCATCAGTGTGGCACCAGCCACCGCCAGTAACCAGTGCCTTTACTGGTTGCCACTGGGAACCTGGATCAGGAGGGCTGCTGGGAGGTTTGTAGTTAAGCCAAGCACTGATTTCTGTGCAGGTAGTCGTAGTGCACGAGCAGCTGCGCTATGTTTCTAGACGTGGCTCTGTGTGTGTGTGTGTGAGAGAGTGGTCACTGTTGCCTCGCTGGAAGTGTGTCCTACCAAAGATCACCAATGACCTGCCCAATTCAAAGCTGACTGACGCTAGGGCAGCCATGATGGAAGTCCAGCTCTTGCCCAGGCGGAGTGTGGATTCGGACTGAAGCGAGAGAAAATCAGGCGATGTGGTCGTCGTCTGTAAAGACTGTCAACAGGGCCCCATGGGGCGTGAGTGAGGGGGGACAAGAAAACTACAATAATGGTTATTAATCATTTATCCAGGGTTGAATAAAGATAAAGAGTCTAAAGAAGTGAATTTTAAGAGGAGCTGTGTTGGATATCTCTGTCATTGCTTTCTTATTGCGTCCCTGAGGCTATTTCTACTGAGTAAGGATGCATGTTTCCACTTCACCAGCAGTTAATGGTCCTTGTCCACCACTGCCACCACTGGTTTCTGCACTGTGTCCCAGTGCAGCTATCCCTTTACCTACCAGGACTTGATCCTATGCAGATTACAGGCACAAGCAGTGTCTTTCTGTAGACCGTGGACAACTTAAAGATTAAACACTTAAAAATCAGTTCTCTGCAGCACACCATTTAATGGATTCAGAAAGGTGTGGGCAATGCTATCCCAGTACCAGCCCTGAAATGGCACAGAGGCTAGAGAAGCAACACCCATCCTCCTCCTCCTCCTCATTCAAGCTGCCACACCTGCATCCTAACCTGCAGAGGAGGAGGGAGAAAGAACCACGCTGCACATTTTCTTCAGGGTTACAGTGTTTTAATTTCCACAGAATTATTCCCCCTCTCCCCCTGATCCACACTTAACATTAAACAGCCTGGCCTACATCACAAGAGCTGGCAGCCTGTTGTGCGCTATAAGCTAAACAAGGACTAAAATCTAAAAAAAGTGTGATAAATTAGAAAAATGCATATTGGAAAAGATGGCAAAAACAAAATCCTTTAAGACTGGACTGCTGAAGTCACAAAGGATGCTGGGAAGGGGGCGATGAAAGGTGGCCAAGAGCTAGCCTCTCCCAGCATACCTGGGGGGGAGCAACCGGCTGCCTTCCACCATCGCCCTTCATCATCCCTCTCTTTTCTTTAACTCCTCTTATCAACCACAAACCACTTCTAATACTTCATGTTCCATTGTCAGTGACTTTGGGAGGCATTAGACAGGAACACTCAGTTAATGAGTTATGTTCTAATATGTTCTTAACTAATCAAACTATTCATGATCTAATAAAATATTAGTGTTTTTGCCCTTACAATTGAGCATGGTTTCAATCAAAACATACCAGGACCTCCTTCCTGGAGTGGGGCCACAGCTAAGAAACGGCAGCAGGGCAAAGCAACTCGCAAGGCGATGCACAAGAGATCTGCGACAGGGGGCACATCCTGGACTGGGGTGGATCGCCGAGGCGCTACAGGAGGGGTCCAGATCCCTGCAAGAGCTGCTTGGTCATCTGTGCTGAGGAGCGGGGTCTCGGGGGAGACTCGGAGATGGAGCTTCAGGCCTGGACTCGGACAGGTGAGAGCCAGCAGTGTGTCTTGACACGAGGACACAGGACCGGACTCCCAGAGTAACACAGACAGGCAAGAGGCAGCAGTGTGACACAAGGACACAGGACTGGAACCCCAGAGTAACAGACAGGCGAGAGCCAGCAGTGGCTTTAACACGAGGACCCAGGCAAATGTACACAGCAGTATTTCAAGCAGGGACCTAGAGAATAAGTTTGGCCTCCCTCTTGTGCTCCAACCCCCCTTCCCATCCCCGTCTCTCTTCTCCCTCGGTCAACCCTCTCATCCCCTCCAAAAAGAAGCCCTTCTCCCTGCAGCAAAAACCTGTTTCACTTTAAAACAAGTCAGGGTAGGGTGGGAGAGGGTTGGAGCCCTTGATGACAACAGTAAATTTTATTTCACCAACTCAATTTAAAAACATCACACAAAATACGTCTGTTCACATAGGAGAGCATAGCTAATAATAAAAGTTTTAAAATAGGAAATAAAACATCCTCTCCTGTTCAAGAGGTTCCATCTCAGTGGTGCTCCTCTCCTTCCCACTCCCCAGAACCATCTGCATATCCCACCCAGTCTTTGTGAGGTCATCACACAGGGGCTCTACTTGTCCTTCTTGCTCTCAGTCTCCGCCCCCTCTTCCCCTGTCTCTGTGGCGCCCTCCTCTGGCACTGTGGGGAACTGCGTCTCCTGCTTCTCCTCCCGGTTCTTCGACAGTTTCTTGGATTTCTGGTACAGCTCATTCAGACTGAACTCCCGGATAATGTTCTCCTGGATGGATAAGAGTAGCGCATAAGTGCACAGGGCCTTTGGATGCAGAGCAGCTGTGCTTTAACAGAACCCAAGGGGAGTGAGACGAACACCAGAGGACCCGCTGGTGCCCAGTCTGCCAGGCCTGCAGGGGTACTGGGCTCAGAATCTACCTGAAGAGTGACACACGGAGTCTGAGCCACAGGACTCAGAGCCTCCTGATCATGAAGCCGCTAGTGCCTGGACCTCTCTTACCTCAGTGAAGCTCCAGGACACGGCTCTCCCCTTCTTGTCGATCTGGGGGCGCCTCATGACCTCCTTCCCCCCCTGGAACAGGACGAGAGAGGGCAGCTGCTTTGTCAGAGGAGACGTGCTGACTTTATACCTGGACACACAGAGAGAGAGGGGTTAATACAG